TCAGGAGAGGAGGACGAGGATAAGGCCCAGCAGACATGGGCCCATCTGGGAGAAGAGGGACCCCTAGGACAAAGAGGCCCCTGCTAGTCTCAGCCAGGAGCCTGGATTGCCCAGCACCATCCTCTTGTACCCAGCACGTTACTGGGCCAGCAGCCCCTCTGGGGTGGGGCAGGAACATTTTACTGTATAAAGTGGGATCATTGACAACATTTTGAATTTTTAAAATAACTTCATTTTAAATTCTTGTAAACTTGGACATACCATTCCCCCTATCTTCCATTTCTCCCCTCAAGGAGAAAAACAAATCAGGAAACCCTTGGGTCGGAAAGACCTCAGAAACCATCTAGCTGTTCCCAGGTGATCAGAGCCCACAGTGTCCTTGGCTCAGTGCCAGGAGTTTGGGGGCCACCTTCCTGACCTTCCAGCGAACTTCAAGACTAGAAAGAGAAAACCCAGCTATTCTGAGAGGTCTGTTCTGGGGTGCTTGATGAGGTTTTATTTTCAAACAACAGAAAGTTTTCCAGTGTTAATCCATTTTTTGCAAATACTTTCTCCCACCCTCTTTGGTTTCATAAGGGTGGGTGAAGGCTGTTCTAGATTATGTCATATGTGTTTGGAAAATGCCAAAATAATAATAATGATAATAGTAGAAAACATTTGTCAGGTGCTTCATAGATTTCAAAGCACTTCACAGCCTTTAATTTACAGGTCCAGAGAGAGACAGGGTCAGTTATTCTACCCATATGACAAATGAGAATACAGGTTGTAGAAGAAAGGGAATGGGACTGAAGTGAGCTGGGGTCCTGACAGGCTTCCATGACCCTGTCGCCTCGTGGGCTGGGTGGAACTACAGAGAGGAGGGGGAAAAGGAAGAGACCTAGGAATGACCTTATAACTTTTGTTCTTTCTACACCCATAAGTAAAAACTAACATCTGTACTTCAAAAAAAAAAAAAAGAGTACTAACTCAGTCCTTAATAAAGAGTTATTTTGAGAATAGCTTGGTTATTTTCAGCCAGTATCCATGCAATATTATTCTTCAGTATGTTGCATACCCTGAACCTAAAGAACCATTGCCCTCTCTGTGCAGCCCATTGTTCTGTTCTTCGATGGATGTTTAGGCGTCACTGTTATCCCTGAATTGTTTCTAGCTTATAGTACTGATTTGACAAGGCCCTTTGTTTATTTGTTGTGGGCTTTCCTTCCTCTATATATTGGCCTGTGTTGGATATTACTTTCTCTAATAATAAAAGAGTAATCACTGCTTATTTCTCTTTATTTTTTTATCTTATCATGACAGTTTTATTTACTTTTGTCTAATAAGTGGCAATCTATTAGAGAATCATCACTTTGTGATTAGTTAAGCATTATTTCAAGGTGTTCTTGCCTATATCACATTCAAAATATTTGTATAATGCTAGGCAAGTTTTCTTTATTTGGAGATTTAAGTGGTTAACAAGAATATTTGGTATATATTTTAAAAGTAGTTATAGTTAATCTAAAGAAAATGTTCTGAATATAAACGTTTCAAGGATGATAATTTTCAAAAGAATCATGAAATGATGTAAGCTTAGGGTAAAATGTATTTATGCTGCCAAGTGGCTGCACTTATGTAAAGATTTATGAAAATTTTTTTATGTAAATTTAAAAAGAAGCTTTTGCTTTGTTTTGTTGTTGAAAACAGATATCTCTAAAACAATTTACTGAAAAGATTTTAATTGAAATTATGAAAGTATTTGCGGCATAAACTTTTTTTCTCCCTTAATTGATCATCCATGGACCATCCTCTTTAAGCCCAGTTTTGTCATTTGTCCATCTAGTCCTACAAAAACACTGTTTTAATGTAGACTATTTTTAAACATATTTAGCAAGATTCCTAATTTAGTTATTGAAACAGGAATACAAACCTGAAATACACGTGAAAGTCATATTTAAAAATCCTAAAATTACTAATGACCTTAGAAAATTTGATAACTGCTATTCCTTTTCCTTTGTTTTATGAAAAGTAATTTAGATATTCACTTTATATTGATTTCAATCATAACAGATGCTTTTCAAATTTGGGTGAAACAAGAAAAAGAAAGATAAATATCTCATTGTCTTAGGAAATTGTTAGGCTGAGCAAATGACAGTGCAGAGTTTTATACAACTCTTCTGGAATACCACTCAAAGTTTTATATAAATGTTCCAGACGTTCACAGTATTGAACACAGTATGATAGATGAAGGTGGGAGAAGTGCTAGGGAGAAATTTGTAGTAGGGATGGGGAGGGAGTTTAAATTAAGGTTCTTCTTAATTATTATCAATCACAACACAATTCATGAAGAAATAATTATTTTAACTTGATAGCAAATAAATATGTATAAATTTATTAACTTGTGGTCTAGCTTCATTTATAAGATAATGTTTATTCAAGAAGTGTGAAAAGGTATAAAATGAAATAACATTTAGTTTCATGAGTTTTTTTTTCTTTTCTTTTTAGTTTGTAGATTCACTCCAAAGAGTGCTTAATTTCTAATGATCTAATGAAGTAAAAATGCTTTTAGGGCTTTAGCTTAGTGTACCTTCAAACAAATGGTAGAATACTATGGTGGTAGTCCTTTTTGTTTAAAGACATTAAATGAGACTGATTATGGATATTTACATATCTGCAAAGCCTTTTAGGTTTATATTTTCCATCTCATAATTGTCTCATGTTAATAAGTACCTCTGTGAAACAAGTTTTGTTTTTATTTTTTTATTTTTTGTACTGGAGATTGAACTTAAACTCAGGGAAACTCAATTACTGAGTTATAGTTATTGCACCCCAACCCCTTTTTTTGTATTTTATTTTATGATAGGGTCTCACTTTTGCTCAGTTCCTTGCCACTACTGAGGCTGACTTTGAATTCGTTATCCTCCCAAGCCACTGGGACTACAGGCATATGCCACCATGCCCAGCTATGTAAGATATTATAAGTCAGTATGTTCATGACTGTGTTTACAAGTTTATGTATTATTCAAAAATGTATAGCTTTCCATTTCTAATGAAATTTCACTTTTTATTGAAGATGGAAAGATAGTCCTGCATTACTCCTGCCCATATGGTTGTCAGGCAAAATTCAGATGGCATCAGATAGGTTCTGCAGCACCAGAAGTGGTTTTTAGCCCAAAACATGTTGGGAACTKCTCTGGACAGTACACACCTTTAAGCTCTGAGTAAAGGGTACTGAACAGTTTTTGCACCCCACAATACATTGAACTTTTATCCCCACTCGGATAATAAGGGCTTTC